GTATTCGTGGTACATATTATATAACTTATTTTTCCTGGATAGAGGGACATAAAAAATTTGATTGAGGTCGTAATCCATTTGTGATACAGTTACATCTTTACATGAATTAACTTTGAATGAAGAGGAAAAACTAACTTCGCGCTTTGTAATAATCAAGATTTAATTTCAAAACATTCGAAAGAGTCAATTAATTCTTTTTGGATTAAAATTAGAGACGTTATCTCATGACCTTAAAAAGGCTTTAGAAATATTGTTACAATTTTCTATACCTTATTAGCGAGGATTCCAATTTTCAGCATTAACAAATATAAAAATGAAAATAAGATCGAGACTTTTAAACGTAGATGACGAAATGATAGTGGTATTATCATTTTTGCTACTAAATATTAACAAAATTTAAATACAAAACATACGGAAGAAGTTCAATTAATTTTGGATTAAAATTAGAGGAGAGATTATCTCATAATAACCACACAAAAAAAAGTTTTAAAAATATTTTTACGATTTTCTTCATCTTATATGAGTGATTTCGAATTTTCAGCATCAATAAACATAAAAATTTAAAAAAGATCGAGACTTTTTAACTGTAGATGACGAAACGAAAATGGTATTATCATTCTCACGACTAAATGTAAGCGAAATTATCAAAAAAATCATCAAGCTTATTCTTTCCAATGAATGTATTCTTATAATTAATTCGTAATTAATTACTCAATAAACATTTTGTTGTCTTTGTCATACATATTTTACTTAGAAATGAAAAAACTTATTATCATAAACTATTTTACATAACTACTAACATAAACTATATTAATGTACCCAGCTGGAAGTATTCGAGGAACTTGGAATCACCCAGAATGTCATATCTAGGCTTTGGCAACGATTCCAAGATGATGGTAATGTGAGTAGATGTTACAGAACAGGTCGCCCCCGAGGTACAACACCGAAAAAGGAGCGGTATTTGGCAGTTACTGCCAAACGAAACAGACGAAGCACAGCATCAGACTTATCTCGCCAGCTCTCTTCAGCTACCGGTACGACAGTTTCAAGGCAGACCGTGTACAGACGCTTAGGGCACATTGGTCTATATGCTCGTAGGCCTGTCAGATGTGTTCCCCTTACCACAACTCACTGTCGCCTACGATTAACCTGGTGTAGAGAGCATGCATTGTGGACACCGTAACAGTGGTCTTGTGTGATGTTTTCCGACGAGTCCAGGTTTAGTTTGCAGTCTGATTCTCGCCGGACTTTCATATGGAGAGCGCCAGGTACCCGTTACCACCAAGAGAACACCATTAAACGACACCGTTACGGTGGTGCAGATGGCTCGTTTGGGGAGGAATTATTCTTGGTTCCAGAACTGACCTGCATGTTCAGAGTGTAACGATGGCAGGCCACATCTATCGGGATGCCATTCAGGAACAATATGTACGTTTGTTTCAGTGTGCCATGGGTGCTGAATTTCTGTTTATGGATGAGAACGCCCATCCTCACCGTGCAAACATTGTAGACGAATGCCTTCAATCGGAGGATATTACCCGTATGGATTGGCCAGCATACTCACCGGAATTGAATCCAAAAGAGCATGTGTGGGATATGATTGGCTGACGAATTGCAGCCCGTCAAACCCCTCCCACCTGTCTACCGGAACTTTGGAGGGCATTACTTGATGAGTGGTGTAATATTCCCCAAGATCAGATTGATAATTTGATACTCAGCATGCGTAGGCGTTGTAAGGCCTGTATTGCATCGTCCGGGAGACATACTCCGTATTAACCATCATACTAACCATGTTATACTGTTTTTGTAAATAGGTTCTTTTTTGAAATTTGCTCCAGGGAGTAAAAATCGCAATTTTTATTAATTATGTCAAACATATAGCATCTTTTTTGCTCCTTACCTTTTGTTTAATAAATAGACTTTACAAATAAGTCAAATTTGTTTTGCTTCTGTCTCTTTCTTTGCCTGAACTTCATTATCCTTAATTTATGGACATGAGTGTAATTGGTAATGATATTTGTTCTTGTGGTGTGGACGCTGAAATCGCGGAACATGTCTTGTTGTATTGTAATCTATATTGTTGTAAAAGAGAAAATTTTAAAAAGGAGTTGAAACGCTTGGGTATTTCCTGGCCACCTATTTTATCTTTGTTGGTCAATTGTTCTGAAAGCCTTAATGTCTTGAGAAAATTTGTTTACTGTATAGATTTTTAAAATTTTACAGATACCTTTCTTTCTTTATATTTGTGTATTTCCTCCTTTCCTTTAATTTAGATTTGTCTCTTATGTTTTTTTCCCCTTAATTATGTTTTTTTTATGTGTAACATCTTTCCTCTCGATTGTTGGAGATTTGTGGGAGTGATTTCGTGAAAAGGGACGGAAATACGTAACAGGGAGTTGGGGAAGCGCACGCTAGTCAGTGAAGTTCTGTTTTATTCTTCTTCATTCGGGAGGGGCTCCACCCCCATCCCCCACCCCCTGCGGTATAGGCCGTGGGATCTTTGTTTTTGTTTTCTTACTTTAGGATCAAAGAAGCTAAGTCCTTTAGGCAGAGTCGTGGTTAGCCAATGACGAACGTGTTTTGATACCTGACTTCGATTGCTGCGTACAATTTAAACGACCAGGCCACAGAGCAGCTTGTGTTGCGATCTATCGCAAACACTCCAACTGTTGTGGCTCCTCATATGGATATTGCTTATCGTCAAACAAGGGGACTGGGTATTGTTAGTCAAGATATTGGGGACATATGTTAGGCAAAATGCTTATTTGAAAATAGACAAACAGTGATTTCGGTGGTCGTATACATTTCTCCGAATCAAACGGTTCAAAAAATTAAAGATTTCCTGCATTTTTTACTTTTACCATACACCGAAATGTGGTTCTGCTCTTTTTTTAAAAAAAACGCTATCACTCGCTTCCCATGATTTTGAGTGGTGATTTTAAAGTTAACTTCAGTTTGCTAGAAGCCGAGCCACTCATATCTTTTTTGAATGATGAACTCAAGCTCGAAATGAATACAAATCGAAATGTTTTGACACTAACAGTGGTACTGTTATTGACGCTATTTTTCAACGGTTTTTAAATACTTTGAAATCACAAGTATATATGTCATATTTTAGTTATCATAAATTATCGTTACCGCTCTTCCCCAAATTGAACAAGAATAATTATTTTTGATAAAAAATTGCATTACGCCTTGTGTTAATTAAATAAAATTTTCATTAAAGATATAATTATTCCATAGAAAATTATTTCCAATCAAACTCGATTCATTTTTTTCAGGGTTTAAGTTGCTATTGCGAATTTACCACGATAACATGTCAGATGTTACCCATCGTATGCGATTACTATAAGGATCGTTTCTTTTTTTTCTCCTTAATTATGTTTTTTCCCCTTATTTATGTTTTTTTGTATTATTATTTTATAATGTTGTTACCGCTTACGTCTGTAAGCCTCATGTTATGCAATGTGGAGCATGAGGAGTTTTGCAAATAAATTTATATAAAAAAAAACCTATTTTATTGTTAGTGTCCACCAAATTTTGAAATTGCTTAAAGTGTACCACCACAAAAATAAGGTTGAGAATCCCTGTCTTATCACAATCAATCAGCCTTTACTAATTTCCAGCAAAATTCTTATCTTACACAACTGTATGTTTCGGTCCATTACCCCACGGATCCCTCATCAAACAATTAAACTTTACGATACACCATTACGCCGTTTAACGATCATTTGTCCATCAAACCCTCCTTTGTCCAAGACCCTAAAAACGCAATGCATAGTGGGTACCTACTGAATAATAACGTTGTCTTTGCTCACCACATAACTTCTTTCACTAAAACGACCTCCACAGTAAGACCCCAGTATCATTCCTAGCATAACAATTAAGCCAGAAGTAAGATCTTCGCCAAGCTATCTGCAGACTTAATGCAGCATGGCGTTACCCCAACGACTCTATACGCACTAAACCATCCAACGTTCTCGCCAAAAATTACCTCAGATGAGATTTAAGTGCACCCTTATCCTTAACAATCTCTTCTCTTGGCAGACCTGGGGTTGATGTGAAATTAGGCGGATGCTTCGTAAACTGGACTGAAAGAGTGACCATTTCGTGATAGCCTGCCTTAGACTCAAGATGGCTACTAAGCAGTCAGATGGACCATCTGAACTAGGTTAGTGGGCAAGTAGTCTTCGGACATTAGGTCTGAACGGGAGTTCTAGGGCAGCGTAAGGGTAGGTCGATATAGTAATAAGATTTTAGGTCTGTTTTATACTAGGATCAAAAGCTTAGAGGCTATCCTTCTGGTTATCTTTCTTGCTCAAAGAGAAGATGTTCTTTGGTATCCGAGGGAGATAACAGATTTGTAAGAAGGAATAGTAACAAATTTGTGAACCGCATTCGAAATGGATTATTTTTTTAGAAACAGCATTAGAAGCTTCTCTTTATATAAAAAATTTACTTTTTGTTTTTGTTAGATTATAAATAATTTTGCTCTTGATTTTTAAACAAACTTAATTTAATATATAAACCAAATATTTATAATGTTATTATACAGTACGGAAAATACAAGCTGCTATCCCCCCCTCCACTTCACTGGGTATTTTACGATGTAATGAATGATTAGTTATGCTTTTTTAAACTATTGATACCTAAGTCTTAGCATTAAGATTTTATTCGTACTCTAAAATATTTTATAGCCATCGCCTCTTGATTTAAAAACAAGTAATATAAATTTTTTTTTTACATTTAATTCCTATTTAAATCAACAAAGACAATTTTTATTTTAGTTACTTTTTGTTAAATAGTTACAATTAATATAAATATGTATATACATATCACAGAATCACAATATTAAGTTACAAAATAGAAAGCAATTTTCCATTTTACTTTCTGTAGTATGGCGTTGGACTATTTTTAATTTGTTACTATTTATTCATTAATTAAATTTAACTTACTAAAATAGTATAGAGTAGAAGAAAAATCAGTCTAAGAAATTAAGCCATCCCAGGTGGGATTCAAACACACGACCTTTGGATTACAATTCCAAGGCACTATCCATTGCACTACAGGGATACAAAGAACGATTTTCCTTTCTATATATGCTTCTGGGCTATTATTTGTGTTTATCATTATTTATTAATTTTTTAAAATTTAATTAATGATTTAATATTTGAAAAAAACTGTATTAACATCAAGTGTCATGTAATAAAAGTTTAAAAAATGTATTTGAACTTGAATGGATATTAATAGAAAGTATTTTATCAACGATTGAAAATTTGAACAAGATATGTATATGTACGGAGAGAGTGAACTAATAGTAGGACTTGAAAAAGACGGAATTTGAGTGTCTAAAGCAGAATATATTTTTATTTTACGTCCCCGTAACTCCCCCCCCCCCTTCCTTTTCCAGTTGAGAATGAATTTCCGCTTAACTCGTTCTTTGTAGAAATATAATCAGTGAAGAAACATGACTGTCAAACTTCAAGTCTAAGTATTCAAAAGCGAGATTTTTTTTCTCATACGCCTCCCTCACAATCACTTTCCTATTCTTAGTAGTAATGTAACGTTTTTCAGTCACACAGCTGAAAAGTCGGCTTCTTTTTGTGGGAAGGAAAACCACGTTCCTATGTACACGTGCACCCTTAAAATATTGCAAGGTCTTGTTTTTGGTCATCACCCCGGCAACCTTTGACACAGTGAGAAACCCCCCACTCCACCCACGAGCAGGATGCAACTCTAGGATAAACAGGCTGACCGCTACTCCCCCCCCCCTTTCGAGACCCTAGAGAAGGCAGAGAGAAGTCCGTTGGAAAACTTAGAACGGAACAGATGTAAACTCTTCCCTCACAAACAACAGAAAATTTGGACTCCAATAAGCTAACCAATCTTTTTAATAACCTCTATGTATATACTGTTAATTAATAGCTGTGGCATAAATAAATCAACTGTTTAAATTGATAAATATCGAGCTGCCCTTATTTTCTAAGACGTCACAGTAAATTCTCACAAAGGTTGTTCTTAGTGGATCTCTAATTAACAAAGAAACATGCCTGACAAATTTCAAGTCTGCTGGTCTAATAGTTTCGCTGATCTCGTGATGAAAGGGTACAAATATTGATACATTGGCAAACATGACTAAGAGAGCCTTTCTGACTTGTAAGTGAAAGAGCGCATTAATTGACAACTTTAACTCTTCGTTAATTTTTAATCAGTTTAAAATAAAGCCTTAAATTATACTTTTAATTAATCAAATAAAAATAAAAAGAATATTTCTCAAATATTTGCACACAAATTGTATTTCTTTATCTCTCTCGTTTTTAAAAAAAACTAAAAGAAGGCTGATACATAAAGGGGGGGGGGCTGCGGTGTTTGAAAGTTTAAGAACTACTGCTCTAAGGTTATGAACGTAATCGTAATCTTTAATTAATGTGCTTAAAATACTATAAGATATTTTCCAATACCTTATTCCATGTAAAAGCCTTAATATACATAACAAAGCCAGGAAAACCAAAAACCTAAGTAAACTTAGTAGCATTTTCACCAAGTCAAATCTGCATATCAACACGTAAAGAAAAGACAAACTTAGCCAGTTTCAAAACATTATTGCATGCAAGGGAAACTTGTTAAAATACCTTAAAAATTATATCTACATAAACATAAAAACCGTTAAATTAAAAACATATTTACGGGAAAAAAGATTAAGATATTAATTTATTAAAAAGGGTAAATTGTAAGCAAATTACCAAAAAAAAATTATGACTTTTTGGTACTATTTTGTATTTTTCCAATTGAATCGTAATTTCTCTGTATTCACAATTACCGTAAAATCCGGTAGATAACGGGAGCTTTTAATGCAAAAAATTAGATCGAAATTTATGGGCCTGGTATACAAAATGATAGCTTCTAGAATAAAAATAAAAATAAATGAGCATAAAGAAATACGCTTCTATATATATATCGAAATACTGGTTGTTTTTTTAAACAAACGACATACCTTATGAAATCAAAGGGTTGTAGTTCTAGAAGTATACAATGCTCACAAATTCCTTGGATAATATACTTCGAATAAATTACTTCAAAACAAAATGGCATTGCAAGCGTACAAAGGAGGTGTGGGTTATACGGTGAAAAAATATACCTAAAAATTAAAAAATGTAGCTTAAAAACATTCGTGTTTTATACACCGTATATTACGGTATATTCAATTACCGTAAAATACGGCGTATAACGCGCGCCTATACTTTCAAGCTGCAGTTTTTAATTTTTAGGTATATTTGCTCTATAACGCGCACTCTTTTTACGAAGAAACTTGAAATATAAGTTTGTAATCTCTTATGTTTTGAAATAATTTTCTCGATGAATTATTCCAAGTTTTTGAAAAAAAAAATAGTATACTGCTAGAACTACAGCCCTATAAGTTGATAAGGTATGCAATTTCTTTTAAATAAACAATATTCCAACATAAATATTCAACTATTTTTTTTTATGTGCTCATATTTTTTTATTTTTAAAGATCTCATTTTTCACTCGTAAATTTCGATCTTTCCTTTTGAGTTAAAAGTGCGAGTTATGTGTCTTATTTTATGTTATATTACTATTGGAGGAAAGTTATTAGTTAAATAAAAATAATAACGACTTAACACGTATAAAATTACATTTTTTCCCAAGAAAAATCCAAGATTTATTTGGATTCTTTTAAATATGTTATTTTCTCATTTCCCTGGAAAATTTTTTTTCTACCTTAAGATATCCGAACACGTTCGGAGTACTTTTTAACAAAATAGCATTCTAAAACATTGTAAATGCTCTTTTAGGACTCAATACCAATAAATATTACTATTAAACTATCAAAATTTAAAATAAATTACCTAAATTTTACAAAAATCACAATTATAAGTGAAATTTTAGCAATATTTTTGAAAATCTTAAAAGCAGTTAGAGAAAAAAGTAAAAAACATATATGAGTAAAAGTATTACGAAAACAAATAAGATGCATTTATCCAGAAAGTGTACTAAAATTTTAATTTTTTATTAAAATTTGAAAATTTTAGAGCTTATTGAGTAAACATTATAAGAAATGTTACATTTTTTATGAGACCATTATTTAAATAACAAGCCATAACTCAAAAAGTATTCATACCACAAGAAATATTTTAGTACATTCTCTAGAAATAACAAATATTAGGTTCAAAAAGTTTTATAGAAATACATTCGTAATATTTTGAGTTATCAGACTAGCCATGATGGATTTTGAGCAATTTAAATGCCCAATTCTGGTAGACACTTCTGGTAGCAATTTAAATGCCCACTTCTTGCTTCCGGTTTTTCTAAATTTATAAAATTGATTGTGTAAGTTGGCCTCTAGGTAGTGTGGAAACAAAAAAAAGTATGTTTCGTAAAGTCAAAAGATAGCTCTATTCAATAAAATAAAAAACAAAAATATCTGTCTTGACTGAATTTGGCCATTTTCAACGTGTTATGAAACTACCTAATGCTCTTGAAAAATATGGAACAGTCATGTAACAAACGGAAAACTAATTGTAGTTTTATATACAATATGATACAAAATATCTTAGGAATGATACAGTGTTCACTTGAAGTAACTCAATACATTTGAAGTGATTCAATTGAAAAATAACTAATGGAATCAACCACCCTTATCAACATACTCGTTGAAACGTAATCAATAATACGCCTGAAAAATTTCTCGTCCATTTTAAAATTAAAATGTTGCTCGGAAGCTTGCATCGTGAATCCAGTATAACAAAAAATTAATTGCTTCGTAAATTAACGATAATGACTCGTGATTTATTGCACTTATTCGCTTAAAATATTTAAAAAATGGGAGTTTTTTTTGTTAGTTGGGGAAAAAATGACTTGGTTATTTGTTATTATTTGAGCAAAACTTTATTAAGCTTAACTAATGAATTTCAGAAAACTTAGCGGTTGAAAATACATTAAAATGTTGTATTTTTTGCATAAAAATTGTGTTTACGAGGTGCGAAAACTGAAAAAAAAGGTTTTTTTTCTTAGTTTGGATGGGAGAAATTGATTAGCATAATTATTTATTTTCTTCTTTTCTTTCTGTTAATAGCAAATTAAAATAAATATCGAATAAAGGTATGTGTGTAGGAAATTATGTGTCATTCTGTCTAAAACTTGAAACATCAAAATCAAATTTGATATTTTTATTATTAGAAATATAAACCAAAATAGCTGAAAACATTTTGAATAAAAACACTATGGATATTTATTTCTGAAAGTTTTTTAAATCAGCACATTTGAAATTTTATACCAAAATTCCTGAAATATATAAAACTTTGTAATGGGTATGTCCACGTTCACTAATACTGTGTCGGATCTATCCGCGACTATATTAACACCTTGGGGACTCTTCTGGAGAAAAATAATTCAATGCAACCGACTTTCCCCGACGAAGAAAGCTTGATTATGTAAGTGAAGTATATTATATAAATTATGTTTACACGAGTTTGTGAGTTGGTAAGTAGGAGTTAGTAAAGAATCTTCGAGTTAGTTTGTTAGTTGAAGATTGAAAGATAGTGGAATTATTAAGAGGTCTTGGAGATGTCCAGGAAAACGGATTACACCAGTGGATCCAACGACATTGATCAATCCCGATAAAAATCACCTGCAAGACTCCAGTGAAGGATCCGATGCATAAAAAGTACAGATATCATGAGCTTGATTAATTAGAAGTAGTTTATTAGTGTGTGACGTAGTTATATTTGAGCGTATTTAAGCTGTCTTAGATTCAGTTGAGGGTCCGTAGTAGTATCCCCGTGTTACAGAATATCACCTCCGCGCTCTACTATTCCAATCACCTAGCTTAATTAGATTGTTATTGTGTCTGATTTCTATTTGGTAACACTGAATTAATTAGATTGAAATCATGTCTGTTGATCATTCAGTTTCTTCCACACACCTAGCCGGGTTTACAGATAGACAAGGAGTTACAGAGTCAATCAGGAACCGACAGGTATTACAATACTTTTAAGGTATTTGGGGTTTTCGAGAACTAATACTTTTGGGGTCTGCTTTAAATGTTGTTCTGT